AAGCACTTTGCCACTACACTACTACCACATATTAAGGTATTCATTTTTGTTTTTTCAATTTTTTACTTAATAATTTGATATTAGTTTTTTTCAACACTTGGCAAAGCATTTACTTTAAAACCTAAAATTAAATCTGATTTTAGGAATAGAAAAGCATATCATACAGAAAAAGCAACAGAACACCTATATTTTAAAGTAGAACTTAGTCAAGATAAATAAATATTGGTTTGAACCAATTAAAATCTCATATTTCTTTTATTTTAGACTTTAAACAAAGAGCTAATTTTAACCTTTCCAATAAATTACATGCAATGTTAAAAAACATTTTTTGTTGAATACTGTTATTTGTTATTTATTATTATGTGTTAAGAGTTCCAGTACAAAGTTATTAAGTTGTGTGAAATTAACACAAGTCAACTCAAAAATACATCACCACATCTTAAAAATTTCAACTCAGCTGTTAAGCAATAGAAGATTTGAATAAATTTACACTAAGAAAACTGGGTAACAAAGGTTTTGTATTAAGGTTTATAAGTAATATTTTAATATGTTTAACAAGATTTAAAAAACAAAAGCTGGATAACTAATTGACTGTAAATTGTTTGCTGTTACAACTTATACCAGCCAATTTATTATTTTATCAATATTTCTTAGTGTTATAGGTTGGGTGCAGCATAACTAAATTGTTATTGAATAATTTAAATGTTTTAAAATTAATTGCATAAAAATATTTTTGTAATTATGGTTTTGCCATCATTCAATCGGAATAACTATTTCAATTCTAACTGTTTGTTAAATAAGTTTGGCTTTTTTAAATGTTGTTCTTGGTGCAGTAAAACGTGTTTTAAGATGTTATTTGTAAAACATTTTAATGTGCCATATAATTTTTTTCCTTTTTTAGGAAATTTTTTTTCCTTTTTAGGTATTTTTTTTTCTTTTTAGGTATTTTTTAGATATGCAAAGGTAACTTTTATATTTTGTCAACTATACTTTTATGTATTACATTTACGTTCAGAACATTACAGGCATTATGACCAACTGCAAAGATTTTGTTAATAAAATTAACAAAATCTTTGCAGTTGGTCATTTATATATATATATATATATATATATATATATATATATATATATATATATATATATATATATATATATATATATATATATATATATATATATATATATATATATATATATATATATATATATATATATATATATATATATATATATATATATATATATGTATATATATATATATATATATATATATATATATATATATATATATATATATATATATACATATATATATATATATATATATATATATATATATATATATATATATATATATATATATATATATATGTAGCAGCACTTCCTTGCGAGTCAGGCTATTTCCCAGCAAGCACACCCATACGGGTCCCATACGGTTTTAATCTGGGCATCCGGTATGGGCTAAATCTGGTATTTTTTCATGGGGTTCATCTGGGTTCCTTCAGGGATTTCCTGGATGCGCACGCAACCATGCGAAATTTTCTTAAACTGACTTTATAATTTTCGCGCTTACTCAAAAATCTTGCATTTTCCTCAAAATAAATATAGTTAAGTTAAATACAGTTGTATATAATTAATTAAAATATATTTTTTAATTTCATTTATTAAACA